TCGTAATAGCCATTATACTGGGATCTATGAAATAACTACGTTGGCTATAGTAGAAATTACACCGTGATAGCCATTACCGAAAGAAAATATTGCAATAGGTATTTAACTTGCAATAAATCGTACATGTAATAGTCATTACTTCCTGTCTCTGAAGGTACGAGGTCCGTTGGCGGGGGATTAATCAGCTTGTCTGACCATGGGGTTATTGCTCGGTAGCCATCTAAACTAACAACGCATATGTTTCGCGAAAAATGAATGATTTGAAAAATATTTTTCTAAAAATGATCATTTGTATAGTTTACAAAGATGAATGAAAGAAAAAGATTTGTCATTATTCATGAAAATATTTACACATAAATTATTATCGATGATAAAATATATTGAAATTTATTTTCATTGAAAACGCAAAAAAGACAAAGATCTGGGCATTTGCGGATAGTTTCTTGTCCTCAGGTAATACTGCACAGCAGTGTGAGTACAGAACCTGACGGCCTGTGAGATGGAATCATCTCTCCACTTGCTTCAGATTTATGCAGGAGTGTTATGATTCTTCAGCGTCATACACGTGAAAATATGCTGCCGTACTGAAGCAAAAATTTGCCGCCAGATCCAGAGCCCTGAGCTCATGTAGACTACTAATGGAAACAAACTTGACTCTAGTTTTGCTTTTTCTAATTTTTGCACTCCAATTTGCTTTCTGATTTTGATGTTTTACAGCACGGATTCTCAGCTTGGGCATCCCCTTTTAGATATGTTGAATTGAAAGGTTTCAAGTGTCCCGCGTTAGAAAATGGTCTAACCTTATTTACATATTAGTAGTTAGTCTCGTTGCTGGTTAGAAGTTTAAACTTATAAGTTATGGGTTGATTAAATATATTTGTTGTTCTAGACCATGTTGAATCCCACGCGTGTGACTCTTTCGCCAAACACCCTCGTTGTGGACCTCAATGAACATGTCGCCAACAAGGATGGTTGCTGTCCCTATTTGATTAACTTGGCCTATCTCATCAATGAATATTGAATGACTGCATTCAATTTGTGCGACATAGTCTGAACCTCTGGCTTTGTCTTATAGTTCTGTCTGGATTTGTGGTATCTTTACAGTGGTTTGATTATACTAGTATCTTGGCGCCAGACTACAGCAGGGTTTTCCTGCTCCAAGCTCCCTGACACTTTGTATTGGCTCTCCTTGCCAACACAGGAGAGAATTTTAGTAGAACAAGAGAATTATCAATCTTCTGCATCAATTTAACTTCGATTTTTTCACATGTCCATGTGACAGAGCATGGGAGCTGACGTTAACCAGAAACTGTTCAGGGGCTATGCCATAACAGCCGCCGTACGAGAGGGTCATATTAAGGTTGCCGAGGTTCTTATGACTGCAGGGGCATCTCGTGATGCATGTGAGGAGGCCTTAGTGGAGGCAAGCTACGTGGGGCAGCCAAGGATCTCCGAAATGCTCATGGGATCCCAAATGATTCGTCCACATGTTGCTGTTCATGCTCTTGTCCTTGCGTGCTGCAGAGGGTTTGTTGCGGTTGTTGATGCACTCATCAAGGTATGCTGATCAGTCACTAGTATTAGTCCTTTTCATCTTCTGTGGACTCTAGTAATTACAGAGATTTACAAGCAGAATCAGGAAATATTAACGCCAATTAAGGCTTAAAGCAGAATTGAATTTTGTGAAATCAAGTCTTCATCCGTCATTTGGTTCATTATTTGGCTCAACAATTACCTGAGATGTATATTGCCAGTTTCAAAGTTGCGGGTAAAATGAATAAGTTTTCAACTTCGATAGCCAGGAACTGAGTGCAATAACCTAGCTATCCCTACCAGGGAATGTTCACTTGTGTTACTCCAACTTGCGTCTGTCTCTTTAAGCGAATTACCCATTACTTCCATGTGAAAGACACTAATCTCATTCTATTTGATAAATATGAGATGTCATCTGAGATTGCGATATCGCTTAATGCAGTGTGGTGTGGATGTCAATGGAATTGACAGGGCATTGCTTCAATCCTCTAAGCCATCTCTCCACATTAATGTGGATTGCAATCCACTCATTGCTGCCATCATCAGTAGGCAGGTTTCGGTGGTCCAAAGACTGCTACAGGTAAGGTTATTACAGCTACAATAGTAGAACTGAGCTTTTGCTTAAGCTACTTGTGGTACCAGCAAAAAAATATGGGGTAGCATGTTGAACTAGTTGTCTGTTACCTGCAGATTGTGACCTTTTCGGGTTTGCAATGCAGGCAGACGTTAGAGTAGACATTGAGGTGAGGCTGGGGGCCTGGTCCTGGGATGTAAACACAGGAGAGGAATTTAGAGTGGGTGCAGGCCTAGCTGAGCCATATTACGTCACCTGGTGCGCCGTGGAGTACTTTGAATGCAGCGGTGCCATCTTGCGCATGCTCCTCCAACGGCTCCCCGCTTCTTCTCATCATGGAAGAACTCTTGTCCACCACGCAATCCTATGTAACAATAGCAAAGCATTAGATGTGCTGCTGAAGTGTGGTGTGGATCCAGAATGTCCCTTGGAAACCACTCCTAAAACTGGAATACGACCCATTCATTTGGCAGCACGCCTCGGGTATCCGAAAGTTCTTCAATGCTTGATCTCTGCTGGCTGCAATCTGAATTCGTGGACAGAATGTGGAGAGACCGCATTAATGATTGCTGCAAGACGTCGGAATGAGGAATGTGTGAAGGTTTTGGCTTCAGCTGGCGTAGACATAGCATCGGTTAGTTCATCTGGTCAATCGGCAGTATCAATCGCAGAATCAGTTCAATGGAGTCTTGGCTTCCAGCAAGCGGTTGTGGATGTCATTCGAGCTGGCAAAGTTCCTCAATCAAGCAATGCCAAGATGTTTTGTCCTTTGATGTTTGTAACTCAAGCGAATGAAGTCGAAGTTTTGAAAAAGCTTATTGAGCATGCAGACATTAATCTCGATGAACAGGATACCGACGGATATACACCTGCCATGAGGGCCGCAGCAAATGGTCACATGGAGGCTCTCAGGGTGCTTGTCTTTGCCGGGGCCAACACAAAAATGAAAAACAAGCAAGGTGATACAGTGAGAAGCTTATCGGAGTTGACTCAAAATGGGGAAACATTTGAAGCAATTACGCATGAGTACGAGCTTCAAAAACGGCTCAATAATTCTGCTGGCGTTAATAGTCTACACCACGCGGCACGGAATGGACTGATTGATCTGGTTCGCGTCCTAGTGAGCAAAGGTCACGATGTGAATGCCCCTGATGCAGAGGGATACACCCCACTGATGTTAGCTGCAAAGGGAGGTCACAGCGCGCTGTGCGAGCTCCTACTCTCGCATGGAGCGAGGTGCAGCTTCGAGAATGCGAGACACGAAACCGCACTCTCACTCTCAAGACTAAACCGTATCGGAAGTGATGTAGAGCGAGTGATCTTAGATGAGCTTGCTAGGAAGCTTGTGTTGGAGGGCGCCCGTGTGAAGAAGCACACGAAATGCGGCAAAGGAACTCCGCACATTAAAGTATTGAGGATGGTCGGGGCCGCCGCCGTTCTCCGCTGGGGCAAGTCGGGCAAGAGGAACGTGATATGCAAGCACGCCGAGGTGGGGCCTAGCTCGTCATTCCGCTGGAACCGGAGGCGGAAGTTCGACACGGATGAACTGGGGATGTTCCACGTCGTGACGACCAAGAACAAGGAAATCCACTTTGTCTGCGAGGGAGGCAACGAAGCGGCTCGGTTGTGGGTGAGGGGAATCAAGCTGGTGACGAGGGAAGCCATTTTCGGCAAGAGCGAACGGGGAGCGTCGTGACTCGTCGGGCTTCGAGGGCTCTATTCACGGTGTATGTGTATCGGAAGGCTAAAGGAGATCGCCTGATCTTGATCACGTTATATCTTTAGTCATCCTTGTAGGACCTTTTCGGTTTATGTAGCGATCGAGAAAGAGATTTTTCTTGAGACGATGGTCAAACTAATAAGCTCCATTACCGCTCTCATCTCTGCATCATCACAGAAATTGCATCACCTTTGCGCCATGCACATACCTAGTTTTGAGTTATAAGCCCAAACCCAACCATCTTTTCTGGGCTGATTTGGTATTAATTTGGCTTTCAATTTCCAAAAAATATTGCTTATATCTCTTGCAAAAATGATGAACGAAATTTTTTTCATTATTTGCGAAAATGTTTAAACATAAATTGTTGTTGATAATGATAAATATTTTTCATTGACTAATTATTTTAAGCGATACATGCGATCATTTTTTTACTCATTCTTTGTAAAAAAAATGAACTCTGAGAATTAAGTATTTTCACTTTATGTAATTATTTAAGGGTGAGCAACCGGACTGATTTATAATATGATTTGTCTGGTTCTCAATTCCAATTGGGATGAGACCTTGACCTGTTCAGTTTCCATTTCTAAATCCAATTGGTCAGTTTTACTCGAAATCTGGAATGCGGTTTTCCATTTCTAAGTAAGTTATTTTAATTTTTTTAAATCATAAAATATAATAAAAAATGAAAAATTGTATTATCCTCAAATAGAAGAATTGTAATCATATTTGACAGATGAATATTGTATATATAATAAAATAAAACAAAAACAAAAAAAAAAAGCTTGGGCCGGTTTCACCATGATACAATAGGGTTCAGCTACTACCTTCCCTCGAACATATCACCCTTAGTAACTATGATATGAAAAATTAAAAAAATAAAACACCAATATCTAGAAATTCTCATTATGGATGGAAGCATAATTTACTTTTAAAATGAAAATACGCTTCCTTAATTCTGACAACAGCACAGTCACAATTTTTATTCATGTCAAAACGTCCATGTTAATTCTCAAAAAATTGAAATGTTGCTTTCATTTTCATTATCATGAAAAACAAAAATAAAAATTATTTTATATGAGATAGAGTAAAAAAATAAAATAAATTCTTCCCCCCAATTTTTTTTCCCGGCATGTCCACATTGCCCGCGTAACAGCAGTGCGCTCAAGAGCTTCACCATCATCGGCCACTTCTTCTTCTTCTTCGTCTCCTTCGCGCCCTCGCTGTTTTACCAGTGTTCGCGAAGATGGCAGATCGATCGTCGTCGCTCCCAGACCTCCCCGTACTCCAATTCGAAGAGAAGATCGCCGAGACGGTCGAGAAGAACCCGGTGGTGGTGCTCATCGGCGAGACCGGTTCCGGTAAGAGCACGCAGCTCTCCCAGATCCTCCGCCGCAGGGGCTACACCAAATCCGGCATCGTCGGGGTCACCCAGCCCCGCCGCGTCGCCGCCGTCTCCGTCGCCAGGTGCCGTTCGCCTTCCGGCTCCATTTTCCTGGGCTTTTTCTCATTTGGGGGCACGCCGTCCTAGGGTTTCGGCATCCCTGTGTAGTAACGAAGAATCGTGGGACTAGTTCGTATCCTCTCGTAACATCAACAAGCGTGTGTATTCATGGGGGAGCTGTCCATGTTGAATTTTCTTGCTATGTCTAGTGTTTGTGGTTCTTTCATCAGTTGATAGCTTAGACCGCGATATTAGAAATTGACATGCTTCTAGGCTTGTGGTAGCGAGACAGTTTGGCTTCTGTCATGAGGCCTTACTTTGGTGTTCGAGTGATCTTATAATCTGTAGCGACTGCTTTTCTCCTCATTGTCGATTTTGTGATGATCCATACTTGTGGAATTGATGCGATCCTAATACTTAATGTGCACAGACGGGTGGCGCAAGAGCTTGGGGTCAAGCTTGGGGAGGAAGTGGGTTATGCCATCCGGTTTGAGGATAGGACTTCGAAGAGGACAAGAATCAAGTAAAGTTTTCTCAGAACGCTTTCCAAAGTCCAAATTATATTCAGCTTCGATTTTGTAGAGTTTCTCCTAGATATATGAATGTTCCGACCTCCATTGTTTGCTCAGTTGGGGAAATTGGATAGAATCTTGTGCTCTCCATCCTTGCGGTTTCTAACGATGGACTTTGTACTTGCTCAGATACCTTACTGATGGTGTACTTCTTCGCGAAAGTTTATCCAACCCAGAGCTCAGTGAATATTCAGTTATAATATTGGATGAAGCCCATGAAAGGAGTTTAAATACGTGAGTTCTATGTGTGATTCTTATACTTCATTTCTGCATTGAGGGTCTGTTGGCTTTTCTGTGTCATGTGAATGGGATACATCTTTAGTCTCTAATATGTATACCCCCGACTGTATATGTCTGCTGCTTCTGATCAATTTTTCCTTTTATAATTATTGGTGATGAACCTTCAGGGACATATTGCTTGGACTGATGAAGCGCCTAGTCGAGATCCGCTCATCCAATTTGAGGGTTCTGATAACTTCGGCTACTCTTGATGGCAATAAAGTCTCTAAGTTTTTCTCAGATTGCCCGGTACTAAATGTTCCTGGAAAGTTATATCCAGTGGAAATAGTATACAGCAGAGAGCGTCCCACAAGCTATCTTGAGTCTTCTTTGAGAACGGCCCTCAGTATGATACGACTTTGATCATATTCTTACCGTACAATACATGCAAACTTGCACTTTGATCTTTTTGGCTTAATGCCATGACCAAGCATGATGATGGCTTCCATGTATTTGTCAATTATTGATTGTTGGTTTGTAGTGTGGTTAATGTTTGTTTTTGTATTTTTTTAATCTAATTTATAATTGACACATTGTTTTTGTCTATCTTCTCTGTCAAAGCTCAATCTATTGTCACAGCAATCTTTTCCTTTTGTTCCCTCTAAATTTCACTTTACCTGTGGAAGCTATTGTTAGTACACAATATTTGAGTTTGTTATGAACTTCTTGCCCAAAACGAAATGAATTTCTATAATAGGTCATTCTTGCTTGTTGCCTTTTCTATTAGTTTTGAATTGCAATACTAACTCATCGATTATTTCTAACTAATTTAAAATGTAGACATACATCTTCGGGAACCAGAAGGTGATGTCTTGATATTCATGACTGGACAGGTGAAATTAAATTTTGCTTGATTTTCCCTCTAGTTACAGGTTGATAAATGAAATAGTTGAATTTACTTGGTCTTACAGGATGATATAGAGAAGTTGGTCTCCAAGTTGGAAGATGAAGTTCGAAGCCTAGAAGAAGGATCATGCATGGATGCCATTATTCTACCCCTTCACGGTTCACTGCCCCCAGAATCACAGGCAATTTCTCGCTATTTTCGTGCTTGGAGAAATGTTTGCAGAATTAAGAAAGTAGATCAATTTATTAATGCAAACTTCTCATTTGTGTACTTTACTTTTGAAAACATATGCTTTTATGCCGTGTTTTAAGAGAAAATAGCATCAGTATGGTTTTTCTCACTGTATTATAATTTGCTTACAGACATGGAATTCTCTCTTTTTTTTAAGTATCCCAAAAGTTATCTCTCAAGAAAGTTAATTCTGTTGGGGGTAGATTATCCATCCATTTCTCATGGTGCTACTAGAAAAAATATAGTGTATTAAATGCTGGCAATGGCAAACTGGGAAAAATTGAATTTTTGACTTGTTTGATTTCATTTCATTTTCTTAATTTCACTTGCTTTGTGAACCATGCAGGTTCGAGTGTTTACTCCTCCACCTCCAAACTGTAGGCGATTTATCGTTGCTACCAATATTGCTGAGACTTCTTTAACTGTTGATGAAGTTGTGTAAGTAACTTAGATTCATTTATGTTGCATTTGCTTGTGAAATTTAAGTTGCTGATTTACGTGACTAGTACATAATGACATCTTTTATTTAGTGCTTCAGTATTGATAATAAATTAATTATTTTCTCAATTAAAGGAGAAGCATAATGATAAAGACACAAAAAACCAAGAGATCAGGATTTCTTTATCAGCTTAAAAGGCCAAGAGATAGAGTACTGAAATGTACTTTGTAGCTTCTTATAAATCCTCCTTTTTCCTATTGTAAGGCGGTTCTTGTTATTTAGGTCCCGTTTGGTTCAGCTTTGGGAAGGGGCTTTCGGCCTCGAAGGCCCATTCCCAAAATGCTGAACCGTGGTTCAGCATTTGGGCCTAGCATTGGCCAAATGCTAGCATTTGGAATGCTAAAAGCCCAAAGCTGGTCCGGACGAGCTTTGGGCTTTCGGCATTCCACAAATGCTGAAGCCAAATTTTTTGTCCCCAAACTATCCTCACTTATTTTGACTTATTCCGGTTTTGCCCCTCTTGTTACTGTTCATTTTCTTTGTGAGGCGGCCGGCGAGGGAGGCCGGCACCGAATCGGGCCGGCGAGGTTGCATGACCCAGGCGACGGCCGCTTGAGGTCACGCGACCGCCCAGGCGCCGCTGGCTTGGGTCACGTGACCGCCGTCTACTGCCTGGGTCGCGCGACCTCAGGCGATAGCCGCTGGCTGCAGATCTGGCTCGCCGGGGGTCACCTGACCTCGGGCAACGGCCGCCGGCGCCAGATCTAGCTCGCCAGCGGCCGTAGGCCTTCATCGGAAGGCCGGCTCCAGCGAAGGGTAAAGTAGGTTTTTTTTTTTAAATAAAAAAGATAATTCCCAAAGCCCTTTTGTAAAAAAAAAATTACCAAACACTACTTGGCCCAAAGTAGCTTTACAAATGATTTTTTACCAAACGCCACTTGCATTTCCCCAAGGGGCTTTAACCTAAAGGTATTTGCATTCCCCCAAGTAGTATTTCAAAAGCTGAACCAAACGGGCCCTTAATAGTGGGTGGTTATCATTTTAAATTGCTCAAGCAAGCTGTAACTGTTGGTGCTATCTCAATTTATAATTGCCTATAACAAAGTAAGTAAACTTTTTTAACTAAATCAATCTTTCTTCTTGTTCAAACCTTCAGTGCAAATGAGTCTGAGCTCTTGCAGAGTTAATAGAGCTAGGTTCGCTTGTTGATTAAAGATTTGACTGTGTTGCTATCGAATTTGCGTGGCAAAGAATATAAATTTCTAGTTAATTTGCACGCTTGTCACTTTTTTTGGGAACTGCTAGAGTTTCTTATGTGCCAAACATATTATATGATAGGAATATTCTTTTTGACATTCATACTGCAGATATTTATGGGATCACTACAAATTTATCTAAAAGCTAAGTCTGCTAGATGAAGCATGATTTAATGTTTAAATGCTTTAACACTCTCCATCGCGTAAGTTGGGTTGTTGTGTAAGACTAAAGCATGGAAATTTATTTTTAATTCAAACGTGGATGCTGGCCTCCTGTTCCAATTGGATGTAGAACTTTTTGAGGCCACTACTTGTCTGAAAGTTTGAGCTAGTAGATGAAAGTGAGAATTAGTATTTGAACGGTCTTAGAGCTTACTCTACTTTAAATGCCTGAAATAAAGTTTGATGGAGCTGAATTGGTTCCTTGTTATGCTAATTGGCTTGGCTGGATCCTGGATACCTTTCTATAAGAGTTTGAGATGGAGGATGGAAATTCAAATCAAAGATAGGAGTATCTTTTAACCAACGGACTCATAATTGGAGTTGGGTTGCTCAATACAATTTGGTTATAGCTCTAGCTAGAACTCAATAGCTATGTTGTCTCGTTTTTTCGAAAGTTGAAATACTGGCACCAATTAGTTGCCCTCACATTTTCATTTGGTTTAAATTGACAGGTATGTTGTTGATTCTGGTTATGTGAAACAACGTGGATACAACCCATCTACTGGAATGTATTCCCTTGATGTTGTTCAAGTTAGCAAGTAAGCAGATGATACTATCAATGTTAGATGTTGTTTTCCTCATATTGCTCAACAGTTCATTTAGTGGCTTTCTTCCTTTTAATTGGTGATAGAAATACTTATTCAGTGGAGCTGATATGTTCCTGGTCTTTTCCAAGGTCAGGTTCTTAATCATAGAAAAGGCCTAGTAAAAATTTGCAGCCTTCTGTCTTGAGCTTGTAATCCTGAATGTCTGTAGAATACTATCAAATTTTATAACTTTTAACATATTCAATAGAATGAGACATGGTACTGAATGTGTGATCAACCAGTAGAAGCCTTTACAGCACGCTCTCAATAAACTTGCTGTGTATTTTGGGGTCGAGGACTTGAGGCTTGATGATTCTTGGGTTTTCCTTATGGAAATAATAATTCCTTAATTTTTTCAGTTATTTATTGAATTTTAATTTTGCAGAGTGCAAGCTGACCAGCGTGCTGGACGTGCTGGAAGGACACGTCCTGGGAAGTGCTACCGATTATATCCATCCATAGTTTATCAAGATGAATTCCCAGATGTAACAGTTCCTGAAATACAGAGATCTTCTCTTGCTGGCAGTGTTCTTTATCTGAAGTCGTTGGATCTTTCTGATATCGACATCCTTAGATTTGATTTTCTTGATCCTCCTTCACGTATGTTTGTTCGTATATTCTGCTTTCTCTTCATATATGTTGTATTATTTTTATATCTCTGTTCGTGGCTAAAAGTCGCTTGTGAATGTAAAAATCAGCTTCTTTCTCCCTAATATGGAATAAAGAAATGAATTGACTAGCAAAGAGATATACACTATAAAGCTCCATATCATAATGTTTCTATTTGTCGACGGTGAAAGTGATCAGAAATTTCAAAAAGCGAAAGCATATAGCTCAAAAAACCTTTTCATGTTCTTGAGGTATATTTGTTTCTTTGGTTCTTATGAAATATTGAACGTGCTGCAGATGGTTCTTTGGAAGATGCTTTAAAGCAGTTATACCTTATTGATGCAATTGATGAAAATGGATCAATTACAAGCATTGGACAGACAATGGCCGGTAATGCATTAAATCCTTCTAAGTGTGCTCTGCTTCAAATAATTGTCTGTGCGCCAGAGTGCATTCCTGTTTCACTAGATGGCTTAGTCATTGGTAAAAGTTGTGACGGTAGTTCCTTCCACGATATTGTAGAACATGCTGCTGTCTTACTTAAGAAATAAATGGAATGCCTTAAAGTTTAACCATAATTAGCGTGATTGGAGAAATGGCCTTTCTTGAATTTTGGTTCCAGATTTTTGTGAAGTAATGCCACAAACTTTTTCCAGTTGCATATATGATGGTGCTTGTGGAATTTTTCTTTATGTGGTGGGGAGGGGGGGTTTGTTCACAAATTCTGCTGTTGACTAAGCTATCCAGCATTAATAGGCAACTTTAGAAGCCAAAAGCATAAGTTGCTCCACCAGCTTTGAACGTTCTACTTTGGCTTTTGAGAGAAATAAATGTCAAAAATGGAAAAATTGTTCTTTAAATAGCAAAAGGTAAAGTTATATCTTTCTTCTTGTATTATTTTTGAGTTGAAGCCACAAAAATAGAAAATATCCGAAAAGAATTCCAATCGATTACATGGATCCTCCATAATATTCCACACTTCAGCCTCAAATACAGTTATTTAGATAACTTCCTTTTCTCAACCTAGACTCAGTAAAAGTTATAGCTGAAAACAAAAGTCAAAAGTTACAGTTAAAACCAAAAAGTTTCGACCAAAGTTAGAAGATTATAAATTTGAAAATTGATTTCCCCGGAAGCTCTTTTGGTAAAACCCTGTTCTGTTGTCATATCATTATTTGTCTGTTAGTAGAGAGACTTCTCCATGTTTTCGAATCATTATCTTTCTATTAATAGAGAGACTTCTTCATGGATCGTCTTCTCCAAGTATTGTCTCATGCAATGGTATAGTCATGCAACTTTGCTTTCTTGTGAAAGAAACTATAATTGTCTTGTTAACATTATCCACCGCTACTCACAGATTGCTCTCACAATTTCAGGAAAAGAACACGGTTGAACAATAATAGCATCCTGCCACCATAAATGATGTTGCTATGATATCACGTTTTAAGAAATTGAAGTTAATCTGTGCTTTCCTAATAAGTTATACAAAATCTTTTCCTTTTTTGTGCTATAGCAGTGAAGCTCTAGAAATGTTTTCAGTCAGAGTGTCATCTCTTGTAAATACATTCACTTTGTTCATTATTTATTTTCTGAAATTAATGCAGAACTTCCTTTGGAGCCTTCGCTATCAAGAACATTGATGGAAGCTAATGAATATGGTTGCTTACCCCAGGCTTTGACAATTGCTGCCATGTTATCTGCAGAGACTTCTCTGCTTCCTGGTCGAAGGTCAGTATCTGACTGTCCCTCATTCTGCATGCTATTAGATTTTTTTCAGCTTGAAAGAATGGGAGTGGCATCAAGTGCCTCATGATACTGCATAAAAAAGAGAGTGGAGAAATTGCAAAATGGGTAGATAAGTAGTAGGTTCGTTTAGTTTGGCTTGCACTCCGCAGCTGACGCTCAGAACTTGACAACTTAATATCTTTGTCTCTTGGAATTTGGAATTGAAGAAATCACAAATTGGTAGATAATTACTGGTTTCCATGAAGTTTGGCTTCCCCCTCCATTGATCACACTCTGAACTCCACTGTTACAAAATTGGTAGATATGAAGTTTGGCTTCCCCTCCACCGATTACAAACATGGTAGATAAATACTTTCACTTCCTTCAAAGTTGAATTGTAAGTTTTTCATCTTGAATGCTCATGTGAATTGCATATTTTACACCCTTAATCAAAAGATACAGTTGTTGATGTCGGAGGGCTGACCACCGTGACCATTGGCATCCCAGCTTCACGGCCAAAATGGCATTTATCAACATTATATCTCAAAAGGTCCATGACCTAGAGTTTTTGTTACTGTCCTCACTAGGTTCTCGTGGTTATCTTGTATGTTTGAGTGGATTATAAGGGGAGTCTATTGTTTTTAAATGAGTCTGGGTATGTTTGATATGAAAAATGAGAGGAGAAACTATGTCACTAGTTTATTAAACCAACTATAAGTCACTCTGAAAGTTGAGCATCCAAGTTGAAGTTAATCTGGTGAAGTAACCATCATTTATTTCAACAAATAAGTGATGAATTAATTATGATCGCAGCAAAGGTACCGAAAAGAAGAGAAGACACAGTCCAGATCTTCCCGATGGATCTGGCTTGGGAGATCACATTCAATTGCTGCAAATTTATGAGCAGTGGGATCAAAATGATTATGATATTGGTTGGTGCAAGGAAAATAATTTACAGGTATTTGTTTAACTTCCACTTTAGGAAGCAGGAAACACCTTTAGATGACATTAGTTCCAGTTTCTAGGTCAAATGATCTTGCAAAAAAACCTTATACCTTCGATTTGGTATTGATGAGTGCATAATTTTCATTGTTATGTATACGAAATATTGTGAGAGGAGGGAGGAAATGGTTTCAAAACTTAATGTGATGGCTCTGCATAATTTTTGTCATTTGCAGGTTCGGGGGATGCTGTTTGTCAAAGATGTTCGGAAGCAGTTATGCCAGATAATGCAAAAAACAGCAAAAGGTCAGTTTGCATTGTTATATAGAATTTCGCTTTTGTGAGCAAACCAGGTGTAGTAATCAGTCTTTATGGTTGCATCTGGAAGAGATTCTATATACCCCATAAGTCCTGAATCGAGGTTTGCATCAGGAACCAAAATTCTAAATTTTGGGAGCATCTTTTGTGGTTCAAATCAGGTGGTATGTTTTAGTGGCACCTACAAGTTGTCTTCACGACACGCCCATACGTAGCACTCACAAAACAATATTTATGTCCATGTCAACATACTCTCTAGTAATATAATCAAGCAGCATTGTGTGATATATTTTCTTAATAAATTCTGTGTGATAAATTCAGTTTCTACATCCAGATTGTGCTGTGAAATAAAGATTTATTTTTTGGTGTAGCGCGCACACATAAAATGACTGTCAATCAGAGATTCTTTTTATTTGAATGATGAACAGAATTCCATTCAGAAGACGGGGCTACACGAATTTTTTACCTACTTTAAGCTGATACTAGAATATCACTACCTGTAATAATGCTTCTTGATGGGCCCTGTGAGTGTGTGTGTGACTTTTCCTCTTTTGGAGAATCCACGTGTAAACTGGCCTGAGGTTCTTTTGTATGACCAGCCCCAGCTCCCAACCCAGTCCTATTGTAAATTTCGTGCCAAAACTGTGCGCTTTGGCATAGCTTTGTGTGCTTTTCCAATCCCTATGACATATTTTGCTCTAGAACTGCTTGGTTGTTATATCATCTAACAGATATGCTCTTCTGGTTGTAAATAATTGGGCATTCTTTTCCATTTTCGCCTGAAACAGGAACTCTAGATGTACGGACATCTGAAAGTAGGAAGGAGAGAAGGGATGATTATAGGAACTTGAGGAAGGCTCTATGCGTTGGTTTTGCAAATCAGCTTGCAGAAAGAATGACTCTCCACAACGGATATCGTACAATAGGATTTAAGTCCCAGCTGGTTCAGGTACTTATAAACATTTAGCTGCTACTTCTGAACATGATGACATTACTAGTGTGGAGACATTCATCAAAACTTCGCTAGATTCATTCTTACAAGGGATGGTTCCCACAACCTAAATACCAAGTACCAAAACAAGGTGCTTAAATAGGAAAAAGAGGGCACCTAAATCATAGGGACCTGTAAGTAAGTAGAAGCTGTTCTTATATATTTGTATCAGTGTGCTTGTACCGTTGCAATGGAAGGTAATGATATTGACCTACTTTTCTCTTAGGTACATCCTTCCTCAGTGCTAGGGACAGATGAACAGGGAATGTACCCAGATTTTGTTGTCTACCATGAGTTGATAACCACCTCACGCCCTTTCATGCGTAATGTATGTGCAATAGACATAAAATGGGTTGTGCCCATTTTAAGGAAGCTCGAGAAAGTGAATGTCAATAAGCTGAGGTAACGTGATTGTAGTTAGTTCTGTTTTCACAATGTCCCATAAGATGCAACGTGTTGACTCTCTTTTGTCTGTAACTTGTGTCTCTTTTAAGCAGCGGAGGGTATAGTCAAATTGAGGAGGGAAATGATGGGAAAATAGCATTCTTGCAGAAGGAAGATGTTAGCCCAACTAAGGTTCTGCCTGCCGATGAAAGCAGAATTCAGGCAGCGAGAGAACGTTTTCTTGCCCGGAAAGCCAAAAAATGAGCTCATACTAGTTGAACTGAGGTATGAATTGATTTATAGAAGAAGACAATTCAGTTGATTGCTGAGGAACAGTCTGTGAGATCTGCTGCCAAAGGGAACGTCAATCACTCATATTTCAGTGGCCCAGAGCAAGATGTCATCATGCTTCGTCAATTTCCCATTGAGATCCCGTGTACAATGAAGGCCATTCCATGGACAAGTTGTGATGGTGAGAGGAACATGGACACATTCCATGGTCTGGGTTTCTCCCGATATTTTCAGATAAAATAGACCGGGTGGATGTGGTTCCACAGGATTGACCAGCTGAAGATTTCTGTTCTCCAAGAGACCACATAGCTTATTTTCCCTCCAGATTATTCGCATTATGCCGAACATGGTCGGCTTCTGATCTCATCATTCCTCTGTGCAAAAACTGCGGGAGGTTCTCTCCCGGGTTACAAAGAACGGCCCCTTCACCGCTGGAATTGGGCAGGCTTGGGGGTTTTATCATTTTGCTTAGTCTCTTCACACCAATAGATGTTTAAGAAAAAGCCGGTCAACAAAAAGTGTTCTATTTGTATTCCTTCCCCAAAGGAAACTTGTTATTCGCTGCATCATTGGTCGTGTAAGTGTCGCAGCTAATTAAGAATGAGATGAGATCCAGGCGACATCCCATTAGTGTAACCATTAGACTGGTGGACATCCTCATCTTAGGAGAGTGCCCATGCTTTTATTGCCATTCGTCCCGACATGTTGCAGTTAGCAAAAGGTGCATCAGGGGAGATTCCACATGTGGGGCTGAAAACACTGTACACAATTTATCTTAGTCGTTCGGGCTCGATAAAAAGGCAAAACTCGGAATGCGATGAAGCCAAATGCGAATGATCAAACACTGACAAACTTATATATTGACTCGAATTTAACACACAACACGCTAATTGCCATTGATTTTCTTAGCTTCCAAATCAATGTTATCGTCCATTGTTTCACCAAATCCTCAGCCCTACTCACTTACCGTCCTAAGAGCAAATCTTGCACCACCACGATGGAAGATTTGCACTAGGCCCAGACTTTCAAAAATACCTTCGAAGCTACAATGCTTCACTACAAAAAAGTAAAGGACCTCCGAAGTCCATGAAATCGAGATGCAAACCGCACTAATTTTGAACTGGATCTGGTGTGGGCCTACTCCACAGAGAAGGCCCTCCAAAAATTGGCGTATGCCGCTGTATGCGGCGAGCACACGGTATTCTTTAGTAAAAGGCGAAAGAATAGTTCGCTCTGTGCTCACCGCGCGGCTGCGTAATTCGGTACGACGGCACTACCACCTTGTTTATTGGAGCCCAAAGAGCCCGTAAGGCATCGCTCAGTCCATGTGGGACTCTTTCACTTCAGAACACACACATACGCACGCACAGCGCGCAAAGAAAACCTTTGTCACCTTCTCCTCCACACTCGCAGATATCCATCTCTCCCCCAAAAAGGCAAAGTAGATTGTGTATTTCCAGAGGCTCTTCTGTCCTCTTTCCCATACCCAGAGGAAGAAGAAGTGCCGCTTGTCGGTTCTCTCTAGTCCGAGCGAGTGCTGAGAGTCTGGTCATTGCACCAAGGAGGATTGGCCTAGCTTAGCTAATTCCAATTCAATTCAAGCCAATGGTCAGCTGTTAGCAGCAGCGACAAGGACTGCTGTTGCTGCTGCCGCCAAACGGCTGTGCAGATCTGATAATCTAATGCGGTTCTGTTTGCGCCCTCGCGGATCTGAGTAGTTTTCTCTTGTTGTCGCTTCCTTCGGGTCTGATGGCAAACTCCCCATGAGAAGCACCTAGCAAATTAGTTTAGATGACAATTCTTTACACAGTCCTATGGAACAAGTGTGTTTCGTTCCATCCTGGGAGCGCTGTTTTGCTGCTCGATTCGTCCAATTTCGAGCAGTCGTTCGCTAAGAGCAGAATGTTGGATGGGGAATTCGTCAAAACTCCAGTCGAAACTTGTGTGAATCGGAAAGTGGAGATTGCGAATTGTTCCGATGCTTCTTAAGGACAGCCTTCGCGATTCTTGAACTTGGTTGCAATGCATTTGCTTGTCACAATTTAGGGAACTCGAAAAGGGGAAGATCTGCGGAATCATATTGATTGTGGCATGTTGCAACGTTGATTCAGTTGATCAGTGAAAGGACATGCACGTAAACTATATACTATTCTTTTTTGCTTTATTCCCCCGAGAAAGAAATTGTCATATCGACCAAATATCTCGCACTTACTCGAAGTGAAACATCACGAGAAGTTTATAATCATCATCCTAGGATGAACCGACAGAGTGGTGGTCGATGCCTTCACAAATTGCTCGGTATATACTCAGTGGAACGGTTCGAGACCTTAATGATGTTGGAGAGACATGCCTGCAATCAGTTTTAGATATGCCAGTATGTTTTTAATTGTGTGTGTACATATATATATATATATATATACACACACAGTCCTCTGCTCTCTTGCTTGCTTATTAGCTTCAAGTCGCCATTGCAACACTAGCAAAGTTTCTAACACCGCCATTTCTATAACACAGTGCAGAAAGCTTTCGCTCCATGTCCCCTGAAACAAAGGAAAACTATCATCAGCGTTTCCATTTTACGGTCCAAAACCTGCAGCAAACTCTGAAGAGCGGTTGTGGGTATGTACGTGTGCCGACTGCTGAGCTACTTTTCAGTAACCAATCCGGTTCGGTTCCCGAGTTGGACCGGACCGATACACAACCCTATAGACAGATGATGCAAAACCCGAATTGTCCGAAACCCCGTTCGTAAACAGTCAGTCCACTTAATTGCTAGAAATAATGCAGCAACAACCCATACGATACGAATGAGGTATGCTATGTGCTAGCAGTTTCATGTCCTTAACATTCCATCCAATAATACATCGGTTCCGTTCATCAATCTGGAATTCTGGATTGTTAAAGGGTAGTTTAGTCTTTTCATTGTTAGTGAGCCCTAATACTCGCATTATATATATATATATATATGTATATATTGATGTAATCCGTAATTATAAAATAGATTAAACTTTTTCCTTTTCACATGGTATCAGAGCGGGTTTTTAACCCTAGTTGACGAAGCGACGACTCGCCGCCATCGACACCTTGCCGGAATAGCTTGCCCGTCTCTTCCTCTCGTACATCGCCTCTCGCGCGTCTTCCTCGCGCGGGTCGCGCACCCTCTTTGCGCGAGTCCCGCGTCACGCTAGGTCGCATCAAAACCGTCGTACTTGATATGCACATCCAATGGTAAAGTTCTCCTTCTTGCATTAGAGTGTATTGTTTGTGTTAATTGTGATCCATGGCCAAGATTAGGAGTTAATTGTGATCCAAGGCCGTAGGAATTGACTTGGTAGTCAATGGGGAGAGAGAGCAGATTCTGAATTGAAGCTGATTTTGGAAATTGGAGAAGGAATCGAAGCTGCTTTTGGGAAAATAGGCAGATTTCGAATTCTCGAGGAAAATTCATGGGCGTTGTTGTCTTCTGCTATTCGTCGGGAATTCTCGAGGCAAATTCGTTGGCATTGTTCCGTTCTGTTGGTGGAGTTCTGTTCAGTTGTTTTTTAGATTAAATGGGAAACTTCGTGATTTTGGGAAAAGAGTCAGACAAGGGTTGTCACTAGCCCCCGAAATACACGCACTAACCTTTAAATCGCTCTGGCCCTTCGAACATCGACATGCTATCAAGCTCTTTCTTTTGTCCTGAGTGAATATGGTGCAGACGTAGAAGTTCACCAATGAAGAGAAGATATATGGTGCAGGCGTGCAACAGTCGGCTAGGATCTCTTCCTGACATGCATCTGCGAATTTGATGGTCTGGTGTATTAGTGCCCCACTCATGCACAGCCACATATATATGATAGTGTTTTCAATTTTCCACTAAATTTTTCGCATGGCTAGAAACCCTGAATCAAGTGTGAGGATGGATACCAGCCTTACTAATCTGAAGTTGAGCTCTGTCAAGCTAGATGGGACCAATTACCCTTCTTGGTCTATGGCGGTTGAGACGTATTTGTTGGTTACCAAGCAGTTGAGTTATCTGACTTCACCTCCACATTCGGATAAAGCAAAGCTGGATGATTGGCGCTCCGGCGATGCAGCCATTCGGACATTGTTGTGGAATACTATGGATTCCAAGATTAGTCCTCAGTTTATGCGGTGTACATCAGCCAAAACCATTTGGGACAAGTGTGCTCTTATGTTTTCAGGAAGAGATAACATGACCCGTGTTTGTGATGTTTGGGAAGAGTTATTTGATCTACGTGCAGGAGATATGTCTATATCCGATTACTATTCTAGGTTTACCACTCTTTGCGAGAGACTTGACACTTATTTGCCTGCTACTGATGACGTTAGAGAGTTGGCCAAGCGTCAGGAAGATATGAGAGTTATGTTATTTCTTCGAGGGCTTGGTCCTACTCATTCTTCTCTCCGACAGCAGATTACTTCTCAGAGTACTCTTCCATCAGTTGATGAGGTCTTTTCTCGGGTCCTTCGATACATGCCTACTTCATCATCTGCACTCTATTCTGCAACAGTAGCAAATGCTATGGTTTCTCAGTCGTCTGGTGGTCGTGGAGGCCGAGGGCGTGGTCCTCGTGGTCGTGGTAGATCTGGTCTTTCTCTTGGTCGTGGCCGAGATGGTGGTAGGAGTACTGGAAGTTCACGTTATTGCAACCATTGTCAACGAGCTGGCCATACTGAGAATTATTGCAACACTCTACATCCCTAGCTTCGTCCACAGGCTGCTTATGCTGATGTATGTGAGTCTCCAGTGCAGAAGGTTCCTGATCAGTCACGAGAACTGCCTAACACCATTATGTTGTCTCGTGCTGAGTATGAGTCCTTAGTACGTTCCTACCAGGTGGAGGATTCCTCAACTCCTGCTGCTACTTTGGCACAGACTTCTTCAGGTAGTTCGTCTTGTTTACTCTCTTCTGCGCCCACTTCGTGGGTCGTAGACTCAGGTGCTACAAATCATATGACCGGTAATTCTAACTTATTATCTAGTATCACCTCCATGTCACTTAGTTCTGTTACACTTGCCGATGGTTCACAATCCCACATTACTGGCCAAGGGAATGTAACCTTGGGTCCCTCTCTTTCTCTTTCATCTGTTTACCATTTACCAACTTTTCCATATAACTTGCTTTCCGTTAGTTCCCTTACCAAAGATTTGAATTGCTCTGTGACTTTTACCTCCACTGGTTGTGTCTTTCAGGATCTGAGGACCGGACGGATGATTGGTGGAGGGCATGAGTCCAATGGGCTGTACTATCTAAACAAAGATC